GGAGCCTGGAGTGTCGTTTCTCTATCTGCCTACTGGATGTCCTCTGCGTAGCAGGACCTGTCCGGAACTTTCTGGCCTAATGGATTCTCTCTGGCAGAAAGTGTCCGGAACCTCGTTGTTCCTTATATGGCCTAATCGATTCCCTGTGGCAGAAAAAATCAGGAACCTCGTTTTTCCATATGGCCTAATGGGTTCCCTCCGGCAGAAAGTGTCCCGAACCTTGTTTTTCCATATGGCCTAATGGATTCCCTATGGCAGAAAGTGTCCGGAACTTCGTTTTTCCATATGGCCTAATGGATTCCCTCTGGCAGAAAGTGTCAGGAACCTCGTTTTTCCATATGGCCTAATTGATTCCTGTGGCAGAAAGTGCCCGGAACCTCGTTTTTTTATATGGCCTAATGGATTCCTTATGACCTATCCTATGGCCTAACCTATGGCCTAATACACCTTCCCTATGACCTAATCATTTTCGCGTTTTAGGAATACAATCTTTTCTTTTCCCACACGGAAATGATTAGGTCATAGGGAAGGTGTATTAGGCCATAGGTTAGGCCATAGGATAGGTCATAAGGAATCCATTAGGCCATATGAAAAAACGAGGTTCCGGACACTTTCTGCCACAGGAACCCATTGGGCCATATGGAAAAACGAGGTTCCGGACACTTTCTGCCAGAGGGAATCCATTAGGCCATATGGAAAAACGAGGTTCCGGACACTTTCTGCCAGAGGGAATCCATTAGGCCATATGGAAAACGAGGTTCCGGACACTTTCTGCCAGAGGAATCTGTTAGGCCATGACGTCGCGATGCTCGCAGCCTCTTCTGCTCCGTGTGAGTGACAAGATGAGTTTCCAACTCCGCATGTTTCCAGTCGGACAGTAGGCTTGCTGGGGATGCGAGAGCTTCCTCCAGACGGTAGGGGTTGGCAGGGTTCACAGACGCGACGTCATAGACTGTTGTGTTGCATGTACGGACCCCCCCCCCCCCTCCATTTCAATGATGTCGTCTGCTCGGAGGTGCGTGTCGTCTGCTTGCGCAGGGCTTTGTGGCCGTGCTGCTCCAAACATTGGGATTTGGGGGAGGGGGATGTGCCGCGGTGGCCTTGTCGGCGTGCCGGTGTCACAGCAATACAACCGTTTCTGATGGTCAGGTTCTTGTCCGTTCGGAGGTCAGTGGCTTAAAATCTGGTCTTGTTCCAGCTACCCTCCCAATGCGAAGTTTTCATTGGAGGGCTCACCGTGCAAGAATGAGGACATAAAAGTGCAAGAATGAAGGTGCAAGAGTCGAGGATGCAAGTTCGAGGGTGAGGGTGCAAAGTGCAAACCTCGAACTCCAAATTGAGAAGGCAACCAACTCTAAGTTGAAGACCAGATCGAACGCGACAGAAGGCACTAAACTCCAGGCAACGAAATGGAAACGGGCAAAAGTGTCAAGATGAGCAGATTGCAAGGAGCAAGGACAAAGGGCTCAAAGTGTTTGGGATGAGAATTTGTTGCATTTCAGAACAGTTTTTGCTGCTTTTTTTCATATTATTGTTTTTTTTGACTGTTTTTTAAGCTTTTGAGGTCAAAGCCTCAACTCCGTCTGCAAAACTTCAGCTCCGCAGACTTGCCCTTCAAACAGTTTTTTTTGCTGTTCGACTTTGTTTCTTCTGCGTGTCCGCTCTTGCTTTCATTTTTGTTGGCTGTTGTAAATATTCACCTAATTCCCTTTTGAACAGTTCTTGCTTTCCTCTTCGTTTTACTCCTTAAGTGTTTTGTCCATTACTGCGGTACTCTGATGTGTCCTACGTTTTTTGTTGTTTTCCGGGCCCCGAAAGTGGGCTCGTAAGCTCGTCGAAAGTGTGGCAGGGTAGGAAAGCCCTGGACGGAGGTTTTCAGGCCTGGAGAAGTGTTGGAGGACTTGGCAAGGCTGCGGTGCATGAACAGTAGACGCCTTCAAATAGTGCCCAAATACTGCCCGAATAGTGCCCAAATAGTATCCGAACTGGTGCCCGAATCAACTCTTCATGGTGTCCAAATGATTTTTCGCGAAGAGAAAGGAGATTTTCCTCCCTTTACAAAAATGTATTTCAGAGGGGGGCCACTCAAGCGAAGCTAAAATTGCTCAGACTATTCGACCCCACATTTGGAGCCGCCTGCGCTGACCACTTTCACAAAGGCCTTCGAGGCTTCACTTGCGGGCGCTTGAGGCCTGCTGAGGCCATAGAGGTGGATTTTTGACAGCAACATGCACCTCGAGTCTGCAAGTTCCAAAAGAGACAAGCAACCATGAAGCAATCCCAGACTCCGATTACATGATGGAACTGACTTAAAGAGCAACAGATTTGACGGAGATGAAGATGCAACCCCGTTTTGCAATGGGGGGGTCCCGCAGTTAAGTGCATTTCTCAAAATCCGTAGCATCCGCCGACCTTCTCGATACAGAGGGGGAACCACCATGTGTCCCCAGCCAATGACGCGCCAGGTTTGTATGCAGCTAAGACCGCAGCGGACAATCCGACCGTAGGCGGGGAAACAGAGCCAGGGACATAAAAAATGCTGACGTAAAGAGCAGTCTGAACGAGAGACTGGAACTGCAAAGGATGGCGGCGGAACCTGGCCAGGACTTCCCATGCGCTTTGGAAGTGTTTTGCCAGGCTAACCCAACGGAGCCGTCCAAAGCCGGCTAAGTAGACCAAATGCAAGATTATCTCCCTGTATGTGGACAACTCGAATTGACATTTCTCGTTCCCGGAAAATGATCACGACTCCAGCGATCGAATCGTGGCTATTGCCGCCTCCGCTTCGGCCTCATAAGCATCCGTGCAGCGCAGTGCGGTAGGGGAGAGAAAGTTCAGCTACGTGCTGAATGTGTGACGCGGAGATGTTTCCCTGGCCAATGGGACCGATGGGGCCGATGATGCCCCCATACGGTGGTGAGAGGCGTCGGCGCCGTCGGCCTCCCCTTCGAGTAGTTCTGAGCGCTCGAGGAGCAGAAACCGTGATCGCAGACGCGACCGGGAATCAAGATCGGGGGGAACGCGAGCCGCTGCGCCTTTTCCCCCGCCAGTGCCTCAGTTGCCGGTAGCGGCGCCGGGATTGAATGAGAGTTTTATTTGAAACACCCACCCTCTCCACCCTAATCGATCGTGGAAAGTGCAAAGATTACATCAGTGTTGTGCTACCTCAGGAAGCTTTGGACCTCAGTTTGAGGACACTCAGGTATGCTTATGCACAAAACCTGGTTCGGGTCTTGGCTCTCTGCTTCGCAGTTTGCTCGGTCTTGCTCGTCTTTGACTGGCAGGCCGTTCACTAAGGTTCAGTTTGTGAGCCGTGCACGGCTTGAGAGTTGCTAGTTCTCCTTTCGTAGGGGACGAAAAGAGTCTTGTGTTTCACAGGACCGACAGTTCGAAGTTTTCTGCCGTGTGCGGTACTTGCTACCCCACCGTGTGAAAATAGCGTCGAGCTTTGAACTTCTTGTATGTGACATGTGCGAGTGCAAGCATTCATCCCTGAAGGTTCAAACATGATAGACATCAAAACACAAAGCACGATCTTTGAACGATAATTGTCCTTGCCGACGTCAGTACAGCATTCCTTTTTGCATTGATCGTCTCCCCTGAGTGTGTCATGCTGCCTCCGAACGTCCGTTTCGCTGACAACTCACGTGTTATTTCATGAAGTTGCGTAAAGCGCTCTACGGTCTTCGGTCGGCGTCTTTGGCATGGTATAAGCATTTGAGTGAGCTTGTGAAGGAAATGGGCCTCCATGCTTCCGATACTGAAAAGAGCGTCTTCTCAGGAGAGTACGAGTTTGAAGGAAAGAAGTTTTGGATGCTTCTGCTTGCCTACGTGGATGATTTGATGATTGCTTGCAAAAGTCGTGACGCAGTGCTGAATTTGATCGAGCGCCTGGGGCGTTCGGTAAAGATCAAGGTCACTGGGATCCTGTCTCGTGGCAAGAAGATCGACTTCTTGGGGAGAGTGATCCAGAAGATTGAATGGGGGCTCGTGTTGGGGCTTCCAGAGGGCTACTTCACTTCGGTGTATGAGTCCTACGGCATCAAACGGGGGAGCCCAACGCCGCCAGATCTTCGAAAAATATTGGATGAATCCCTGGAAAAAAACGATTTCCAGAAACCGTTGTCCACGGAAGCGGCGACGAAATACCGCTCAGCAGTGGGCAAGATCAGTTGGGCGGGGCAAACGAGAATAGACTTGACCTACTTCATCAGCGTTCTGAGTCGAGGCCAATCAACCCCTTTGGTTGTACATGAAACCTGCCTTCGCGCTTTCCTTCGGTATCTGATCTCGGTGGATCACCTTAAACAATTATTGAGTGCCGAGGAGTGTTCTGGAGGGGTCGAAGCTTACGTCGATTCGAACTGGGCCCCCGAACGGAATAACGATCGGAGGTCTCTGTCGGGATGTGTTATCCTCGTCGATGGCTTCCCCATCAAGGCATTTACCCGGACACAGACCAGCGTGGCAATGTCGAGCGCAGAAGCCGAGTTGGTTGCAATCACCGAGGGAGCCAAGGAGGCCGTGGGAGTTGTTGCCTTGGTTCAGCACATCTGGGGAGTGTTTCGCACCTGTCAGGAGCCACCCGCGATCTACTCAGACTCGCAAGCCGCCATCAACATTGGATCCATGCATGGTTTGCTTCGTCGAGTCAGGCACATTGATCTTCGCGTGTGTTGGACGCAGGCTGCGATTCAGGATAAGTTGATTACGTTGTCTTGGGTTCCGGGAGCCCAGAACCCAGCTGATGTCTTCACGAAGGCTTTGTCGAAGCCTCAGATCCACTACGTCACTACGAGAGACTTGGGATTGTTGAGCATGCCCCACGGCAGTCTCTGTTGTTGGAGGACCTTGATTTTGATCGATTTGTCTTGTGCAGCATTCTTGGAAGAGTTTTGGCTGAGTCCGTGCTTGAGCGATTCTGTCGCGAGCTTGACGAGGTGAGTGTTGAGAAGAACCGTTGGGTTGTAGTTGAGTTCTGTACCGCGGTGAATTCCGGCATGAAGGTTGCTGCCGAGGCCTTCAAGAACTTGAGGGTTGTCTCTGTCACCGAGGACGAGAACGGACTGAGCGATGAGACCATCGCCGTGCTGAGGTGCTTCATTGTGCACATGGTTGAGGAGTTCAACTCCCTGCACTGGGGGTTGCCTTTACCAGAACCTCCACAAGGGACGCAAAGGACACGAGGCAAGAATCCGAAAGCTTTGGGGAATCCAGAGGAAGCTCTGGAAGAACTTGAACATCCTCATCGCTCCGGTTGAGTCTGTTGCGCTTGAGTTGCAGCCCTACTTTGCGGTTGAGTGGCCTAAGACCTGCCAGTACTGGAACTGGAAAGACGTGAAGAAGACCCTCAACAGCCGCCAGCGTGAAGTGTCCAGCAGCTTGGTTGACGGTTGTGCCGTTGGCATGGTTGGATCAGACGGGCATCTTGTCCACAAGCGTTGGAGGATTGACTGTGACTACGAGCCGCTTGCGTTGTGTGTCGATACTATCCGTTGTACCCAGGATCATGTGCATTCTGAGTCTTTTGACTTGCGTCAGACGCAGCACTATCCATTGGACATGTGCCGCATTGTGTTGCGATCCTTGAAATGAGCCCAAAACCGCCAGGACCTCAGTTCTTTGTTTCAACTTCAACTGCAGCCGCAGCCGCGTAGCCACTGCCTCTCGAAGAGTTTTGGCCAGAGTTTTTCTCACCTTTTGCGCTTTTCCAATGGACGAGCTCCTTTGGCTTCTTGTTGCCGTGATGGCAGCCTCCGCTGCGGTTTCGAGCTACCTTACTTGGTTGGTCACTTTGTGCGTGGTTGTACCGAGACGGACAGCCAAAGCAAGGGTGCCAGTGGTTGCCGAAGACAGTGAGTCAGAGGGAGAACTTCCCACCGAGCTACCGACCTCACCGCCTTCTACCACTTTGAGCGTTGAAAGCAAGTTTTACGTCTCTTCAGTTGGCAAGACCTTGCACCTCTTTCCCAGCTGCCCGGGGCGTAATGCCCGTTTGAAGACGTATCGTGTGTGCATCAATTGCATCAATCGCCTGACGGCATCCTCGACCACTACTACCAAGCAAACTCTAAGAGGGGGTAAAGGATTTCGACACCGTGGTTGAGCATTGTTGGATGGAGTTCGCTTGCTTGCCGCCTAACTTGAGTTTTTGCTTGTTTGTTTTGCACAAGTGTTGACACCAAAGCAATCGCAGCAGGAGAAAGTGTTTCAAGCGCATGTTGCATGATTTGACTTCGCATGAATTTGTTTTCATGATTTCATGAATGATTGAAGTGCTCTGAAGTGCAGTGGTACGTTTAAGATGTGCCCGACTGCTCAAGTGAAGCCTTGAAGTTCGCCACTTAGAGTTTCGAGCTCAGCTTTGCTTCGCAGCCTTAGTGTTTGTGCAGGTCAAGCAGTAGAGAAAGCTTCCAGCTTGACAGAGAAAGGTTGTGACTGACCGCGAACTGTCTTGGCTCAAGGCGGAATGAAAAGAAGTCCGAGTGTGTGCAGCGCTTTGCTTTCTGCTCGCTTTTGTGAGAGTGAAGTCCAGCTTGGTCGGCTAGAGTGACTGGGAACAAACTTCGTGAGTGCTTGGTGTTTGTGAACCCCAAGAGCTTGGTCGTGAAGGTTTCGAAGTTTTCCGCGGAGGCATGCTATGCCATTGCCTCAGCCGTGGCTCGATCCCGTCTGGACTACGTTGCGGCAGTCTTGGAGACGTACCCCGCCGTACTCCATGATACATGGCCGCCTGGGGGCACCACTTCTGTTGCTACGTGGTTGGCGGCGCAACACTTGGCGTACCTCCTTCTCTGCATTGATTGCGTGACACACTTGCCGGGCAGCGCCTCGCCGGTTGACCTCCTCGCTGGGGTGCTCCTGGATGGTAGTGTAACATCGCTTCAAGTCCTGGCGGCGGCTGACATTCGGATCGATCTCCGCGCCTTGGCCACGCAGTATTTGGCGGCTGCCCCTACTTTACCGAGGCGTAGTGTTATGCGCCTCCTCGGACATTTGCGGGCTTATCTTGGCACCTTTTCAGACGTGGAGGCGGACCGGCTCCTCACCGCGCTTTGCGCAACTGACTCTGTTTCTCTCAGGCACCTTTTATGTGCCGGCAGCTTTTCGCAGGGGCGTGCAGTGAGCCTTTTTTACAGCGCCTTCCCCAGCTTTCTCGCGCGGCAGGATTGGCATGGTCTTTTCCTGCTGGTCGCTTGGATACAGGGGAGACTGGCTCTTCACTCTCCTTTGCTGCAATGGCTTAGGCGGTGCTTCATTCGAGGCTACCGCGTCCCGGAAACGCGACCTGCGCCCCCACGCAGCTCCTGTAGCGGCACGGTGCTTCATTCGAGGCTACCGTTTTACTGTCACGCTCCCTAGGAACCCGTGCCATGGAGTATCCAGGGGGACATTTCTCCGTGGAAGTGCATGAGGACGCAGTCCAAATCTGCCGGGATGCGCTCCGCGGTGTGGCGGGCTGGGCGGATGTGCCGCTGCGGCTGACCGGTCCTGCGCTCTCCCCCTGGTCGCTAAATTGGGATCTGGTGGGTACACGCATCAGCGCTCTATTGGTCACACTGCACCTTCGCTGCTGTCACTTAGCGCTTCCCACGAGGAGAATGCGCAGGACAGCAGAACGGGAGCATACCTCCGAGTGCAGGTACGCTGGCGTACTCGCTCCTATGACGATGCCACATGGGGGCAGCTGGCCTATCACCATGCGTGTGCCGGCGAACTTGTGAGGCGCTGCTGGCCATCTTGGACAGCCCTTTGTCGCCGCCCTTACAGGACGGTATTTGGGACCACGCTATTGCTGCCTTGTGCGAGCAGCACTGGCAAGGAGTCATACTGCTCCTGGACCGAGGCTGTGCCGTTGACCGCATGCTACCGTTACGGGATCGACCCCCTACTTGGTACGCACCATTGGTCTCACAGGCCATGCTGCAGGACCATGATCTCGTGCTGCTTTTGCTGGCTAATGGTGCGTGCGCCAACCCGCCGGACACGGGTGGGCAGGTGCCCCTAGTTTACGCGATCTACTCGGGCCGTGGTGAATGTTCTGGCCCTGTTACAGGTGCGGGCTGACCCAATGCCGGCAACGGGCTTTCAGCCCCTGCTGTTGTCCACCGCTCGGCGGCTTGATGAGGCAGTGGTCTACCTCGCGACATATCGCGCCGATCCGCAACTTGCCGCTAGGGAGTCCACTTTGCGTGGAGTAACGGCCTGGGATTTGGCGGTCCAATGGCACATGGAATACGCCCTAGGAGCCTTCAAAGCGCGTGGTGCCGCTTGCGCAGATGAGCTGGTGCCGCTCCGGAGTGCTCTTAATGGGGACTGGATTGGCTTCCTGACGGCTGGAGGGTCCCGCCCCTTGCAACAGTACGAACTCCAGGAATACCTGCGGCTGCCGCTCCTTGGCCTCGACGTGTTCCCCTCTGACGATGGCCTCGGTGTCTGCCGGCGCCACACACTGCCGTCTGAAATCGCTCGTGACACGGAGTCGGCTCGAGGGCTGCAGCTCCGTGAGCTGTTCTTGGGTCGCAAATACGACATTGCGTTGGATGTGGCAACGTCATTCCCGACGGTGCTGCGCTCCTCGGCTTATTGCTGGGGAGCACCGCCCTTGGCGATGCATTGGGCCATTCGCAATGATACCTCAGCGGTGGTTCATAGTGATTTGGGTAGCCCCTTGGTCTATGCTATTGCTAAGTCGTCGGACCTCGCGGTCCAGCTTCTGCTCCGCGCAGTGGCCTGCCCCAACATGATGAGTCACGATGGGCAGGCCCAGCTGCGAACGCCGTTGTATGTCGCGACCCTGGCTGGTTCGCCGCGTACGGTCAGATTATTACTTGCGGCCAGAGCCAACCCTGGGCCGAGCACCAGCGCCCTTGCCTCCCTCATGCTCCTGGCGTTCCACCGTACTGATTTCACAGATCAGCTACCGGCGGTCTTTGCACACTCGGCCAGGAGTAGGCTCTCCGCTGAAGACATGCAGGAGCTCGCCGCGACGATGCTCCCCTCTCTGCTAGCGCATGGGAACTGGACAGGCATTTTGTGCCTCCAACTGTTGTGTGCGCACTGACGGAGGTGAGATAAATTAGTGTGTGTGAGTGCGGTCGAGCTTGCCATCTGGTGTGTCTTTGCTCTGTGTTGCTGCAGCACTTTGGCTCCAGGCCTCTATCATCCGGAGGAGGGAATGCTGAGGGCAATTCTGCCCGTCGGCATAGCTGTCTTACCGCGGTCATGGCGTCCCCCAGCCACAAGCGAGTGAAGACCAGCAAGGCCATACGCACGCACGCCATCCAGGTGGTTCCTGCCAATCTCTATGGATTGGGACCGCTGGCTGCGGCGGGTCAGGAAGGCATCATGAGACGCACAAGCACGCCGCTGTTGATGGCGCCGGAGACCATGAGGGAGGAGATGCGCTTCCCGGCCCGGCGGGACTCGTCCGCCGGCAGGCGGCGGCCGTGTTTTGCTGGCCGGAGCACTACATTTTGCTGCTGCGCCCGCGAAGTGCGGCGCCCACAGCTGACCTCGGAAACGATGCTTTGGTCACCCTTGGAGAAATCCTGCAGGCACATTGCCTGGCGTGGATACACTCCGTGGACTACGGGCGTATCTTGAAGGCCGCCCTCAGTGCCATGAACCATAAACTGGTTGCATATGCCTGGGCGCAGGAGCCCGGGCTTAGAGTGGGTGACGAGTTGTGGGGCGAGGCCCACTCGGCACTGGGCTGGACTCTTGTGGCACGCAGGCTACCGAGCAGTGTGCTTCCCTCCTCCTCATGCGAGCAGACCCGAATGGACCCGTGGGGGAGTTTGGCACATGGCTGCCTCTCCAAAGAGCGGTTGTTTCGGACTTTGAGCCAGGAGTCGGCATGCTGCTGCGGGCCAGGGCCTCTGTGCCGGACGCCTGTCGTGGAGCCAACAATGTCATGCTCCTTGCCGTTCGCGCGGAGGCTAGCCGCCTGATCGCTCTCATGCTGCGAGCCAGCCCTTGCGATCAAGTACAGCTGGCTTGTTTGCCGGCTTTGGCTTACACGCTGGCGCGGGATCGAGGGGCGGATATGGCCACCTTGCTCGCGTGCCGTGCGTCGCCGACACAACCCTTGGGATGCCCGCCAACGGCTGCTAGCAATTGCTTAGAAGTGTGTGCCGACCGTCCATTTTCCAAGTGCACCCAAGTAGTGTGCAGCCTTGGCCTCCTCGCGCTTCCGGCCACTATGGCGCTTGTCCCGATGACTACGCTTGGGGGCACTTGCCTTGGCCTCGCCCCGCCAACCTCATCCAAGGAAGACGTTATCGACATCCTGGAGCAGGTCTACCACCTCTGTGGATCTGGATTTGAGGTGATGCCCGGAAGGAACACCGAGTCCGGACGTGTGGACGTGCTCCACCTGGTCCGACAAGCCTCTTCGAGCGAGCGAGACATGGTACGACGTGACCTCGACTCCTTTTTGAGTAGGAGCCACTATCTCAACGCACAGCGCCTTTTGGAGACTTATCCGTTCCTGGGCACGGAGCTGTCGGTTGGATCGGACCTCCCCTGGCAAGCGGGAGATCGCCCACATGCGAGTTCGGCGGCCTTTTTGGCTGTGGCGCTCGGCGCGACTGCTATTGATTGGTTGCCTGCTGGTCTCACTGCAGGGGACACCCCCGCCCAGCCGTGGGCCCTTACCCACTTCGATGATCAAGGTGGTTATTAAACAAGTAGCACACTTAGTATATAAATAGCAGGCTTGTCGAGGTTAGGTATATGTAGTTAGGATAGTGTCATAGTTACACTTACGATATGTAGAGTAGTGTCGTTAGCTAAGTACACATAGCGGAGTTATGTGTCGGAGTTATGTATAGGTGTTTCTATATATGAGTGCATATAACTGTGAGTGTGTATGCACAATCTCAATAGACTCGCAGGCAGGGCTACAAGCTCGCCATGCAGATTTTTTCTTAGGCAGGAGTGACCATGACCTCGCCATCCTTGGGACACTTCTTATAGTAGCATGCCCTCTGGATGTGGACACTCGGAATAAACCGAGCCGTGGAATCGTCCAGGAGGAAGCGATTCTTACCCAGAGGCTTCAGAATGCTACACAAAGTGCACATGTCCCCGTCATACAGGCGGCAATGCAGCCACACTTGGACCACATCGCCAGAAGAAAGCAGCACGAGATCACCTTTCTCGCAGCTCTGGCCCGGCCTGCAAACGGCCTGAAAGGAAACAGTCGCACCGCGTGCTCGATCGCCGAAGTTTGCATTCAACATGGCCTGCAAAGAGATCGTAGCTTTCTTGGGTGACAGCAGATGGGGCTGCAGACTGAAAGAGTCCGCTTGCATCTGCAGGATCACTTCGCCCCACACGTCTCTGAAGACGGATTTCTCAAACCAGTCTCCAGGGTTGTGAATCTCGTTTGCCAGCTGTTTGATTTGGCGATGCTTTCTTTCGTGAGTGAAGCAGGAAATCAGCGGTTTCTTTCGAGCAAAAGCGCCAAGGTGCAGGCTATAGTGGAATTTAGGCACAACATGCTCGGAGCCATATGCACTGAGAAATGCCCGGCAGTGTTTGAGGATGGCGGCCTCCAAATCGTCTGGTGGCACCTGCTCTCCCCGGTTCCCTTTAAGCAAGAGATCCAGGACGAGAAACAAATTCAAACAACTGGTCATCGCCTTTGCCAGTAAATCTGGAATGCTTCCTGTTGCAAGACTGAGCAAGAAAAGTCGCAGCAATGGGTACAGGTTCAGACCTTGAGAGGCACTACACTTGAACTCGCCAGGAGGAATTCTCTTGTCGAAAATCCTCAGTGTCTCGTTGCGGTGTGTCCTCAAGCCGTAGGGCCATTCGAGGGAACACATCCAGTCTTTCAGACTTTCCACTGTCACACCGTGGGTATAAAGTATGGGGAACAAAAGCCCCAGCTCCACGTGCATCAGTCCTGCTACCAAGTAACAGTGTAGCCAGTCGTACATCAAAGTGGAGGCCAAAGGCAAACTCCCATGGAACAGGACACCATCTGGGTTATGGTTCATCCCCAGTGACTGCTCCAGCTGCTCAAAAGCCTTCTTGGAGACTTGGCCACATCGGCTTTGCAGTAACCTGCAGCCCTGCCAGATGGTATTGTCCGTTCTTGCGCAAAACTTCTCCAGAGCAGTTTCGTGCACAGGTACCAGTGTCCCAGTTGTGTCACAGCCTTCCAGCATGCTCGTCTTGGCAACAACATTGGAGCACAAAGGACATGGTAGTGTCCCCGAGGAGCCCTTCACATCAAAGACTGCCTTCAAGGCAGCTTCATCTGCCACCATGGTGTCCAGTTTGGCGAAGAACATAACTCGTTCACCGCCCGAGTCCAGAAGCAAACCATGCTCGAAGTCCTCAAGCTTCAGTGCTTGCAGGAGGTGGTGGGTGAACTGCGAGAGGCCGCCAGGAAGTTGGTTCACCAGATGGGACCTCGCCAAAGCCACCGTGAACCACATTTGTTCTTGGCAACGGAACTCCGCCCCGAATTCATGGAAGGAAAGGTAGTAGGCTTGGATCTTCCGTGTGTTTTGCTGCTTTAGTTGGTTGCCCGGTGACATCTCATCACAATATAAACACACCCGCCAAGGTTTGTTTGCCTTGGGCGGGTGTTCCAGGAACTTCCTGCTGGAAAAACTAACAAGCAGGTTCTTGACGACGTACCACATCCAGGCTTTCAGATTCAATGTTGGGAAACTCCGTTCCTTTCCCTTCTTGTCTTTGATCTGCATATTGTCGATCAAAGCGCCATATGGTGTGTCGATGGCGACCTGTTCCTCTCTGGCTCTTTTGATGCCTGATCTGGAAGGTGCCACTGTGGAAGACGATTCGGAAACCTCCTTCAAAACAGCTGCTAAACCACTCTGGCTCACATAATGCTTCCGGCCCAAGCTGGCCACGTCCAACGACATGGCTAGTTTCTGAATGCCGGCGAGCTTGCAGCCCTGCCGGCTTGATGGGCCCCAATGAAAATCTGTATAGTATCATGCTCTCGGCTTTTATAACTACGAGCAATTTTGCGAAGGACATATAATTACCTATATTGAGGCTTCCCTTCCCTATATCTATCTATGTTCTATATTTATTTATTTATAAACCCTAAATCCATAAACCTTAAAACCTTAACACTAAAACCCATACACATAAACTCTCAACCCTATATAACTTAACCCAAAACGATAACCCTTAAGTCCTGGAATGGCATAAGGTGTCAAAGCAGCTTCATGAGATCTGACTACATGGCCTGGCACAGATCCAGCTTTGCAAACAAATCCACATGCACGGCTGACGAAGCAACTCTCATGTCGATATGTGCATGCATGCATTCGCTCCGGCCAAAGGCATGCAATCTGCATGTTTTTGTCTCGGCTCGCGATCATGCTCATGCAGACCCATCTGCAGGCATGCTTGATGTTGCTGGACGAAGATGCACAAATGGCGGAACTGAGGGAACATTTTCTTGTCCCTCGTGGCAAAACGGGTTTAGAAACAGCTTGGGCAGCAGCCCGGTTTGGACCTGCATTTGGAGCAACCGTGTGGCCTCAACAAGACTCGCTTCGCGAGGGGGAGCGAGGCCCAATACTTTTTGCCGGCAGCATGGGCTGAAGGCTTCTTCAAGATGCTCTTGGGCTGGGCCTTTGCCTTGGGCTGGGCCTTGCCTTGGGCTGGGCCTTTGCTTTCGGCTTGGACTCACTTTTAGCCTTGGCCTTAGCTTTTGCTTTAGCCTTAGCTTTCCCCTTCGGCTTGGCAACTCCCTCGAACTCGTCAGCCGTTCGCTTGCCCTGGCCTCCAGTCTTGCGGTTGTCCAATGCATCGGACACTTTGGTAGCTTCCTCTAGGGCCTGAGTTGTGTCGAGCTGGAAGGCGAAGGGGTCTGCAGGCTTTGTCTCGATGCCGCTTTCTCCGTTCTCTATGATGTTCTGGCCGGAACATGGCAAAGATGGCTGCTGTGCCTGTGGCGAAGAAGATGGCTGCTCTGCCTGTGTCGAAGAAGATGGCTGCTGTGCCTGTGTCGAAGAACATAGCTGCTGTGCACATGCCGGTGTCGAAGAAGATGGCGGCTGTTGCGATCCCGAAGAGGACCCCGTGCCGGGAGCGAAGATCTGGAGGTTCTGCAACCCTCCCTGCTGGGTCGCCAAATCTTGCTGCTGCTTCATCCATTGCATGAGGCCCTGCATGGACGAAGCATTTGGCATGCCATGCATGCCCATCATTCCCTGCATGTAGGGGTTAACCATCATGTTCATGCCAGCCATGTGCATGCCAGGCATCGACATAGAATTTGCAGGCACCAAGGCAGTGCTCGCCTTCGGTGTGGCAAAGATGCCTCTCACCTTCTTGTTCGTCGGTCTCAGCGAAATGTCCATGGCTTTGAGTGCCACCTGCCCAGCCGGCAGCAGAGTGCTAACCGGCCCATCCTCGGCATCGTAGGCCGCCTTGAACAAAACATCCGGTAGCTCACGAGGCCCACCAACCGGATAGGTTTCAATGTGAATCCCTTCTTTTGGGACTTTCTTCGCTTTGAGACGAAGCACTCTTTTGAACTCCGCCACCTGGAGAAAGAGCTCGGCTTCAGTGCATGTGCCACCGGATCTTGCAGCGATGGCGGCCAGGATACTTTTCACACATTGCTCTGAGGGCAATGTGAGCCTCAATCGGCAGCACCTGCTTGCTGCAGTGTCGATCTTGATGTGGATGCTGGAATCAGAAGTCAGCACTTCCACGTCCTTCTCGCTCAGGTAGGACTCGAAGCTGCTGCACATTTGATTCTCCCTGCGATTCTTGCTGCCTTTGCTCCCACTTGTTGCACTGACACCCTTGGCCAGCACTTCAGAAAAGGCTTTGGTTTGGTCAACAGACCATGGGCCGGTGCTCCACGAATCGGCCAGTGCTGCCCCTGCCTCAGGGTCGAGGCAAAGCCCTGCATAGTTGGGCATGGAAGACATGCTCCCCAGGAACTTGATGGTCGCCGAGAGGTCGCCCTTGAATTGGTCCACGGCGGCTGAAGCTGCCATGTTCGAGACACACACGAGCTGCCAGCGAGCTAGAAGCCCTGCTGGCGATAATGTGAAAACAGAGCCAAGCCTCATGCATTCAGAGTACAACAACAGGATGCTGCAAATCGATGCCCCTTCCTCCATGCACAAGACTGCAGGGCAACATCCATGCTTCACAATCATGCAATGGTGGCATTGTGCTCGCCTGGCAGTGCATGTTCCTCACATACAAACAATGCCCCATGCATGCCGGTGTGCATGCTGTGCATGGGTGGAGGGTTGGGGTGGGATGGGGTGGGTGCATGGTGTTTCGACATATAGATGTGTCGTGTATATATATATATAGTGTATGTGTATAGAAGCATATATAGACACAACCAGAAATATGTGTACCAATACATGTATATATATATATATGTATATATATATAAGAGAGACAGAGAGAGACAGAGAGAGAGAGAGAGAGAGAGAGAGAGAGAGAGAGAGAGAGAGAGAGCAAGAGTTCTCTGATGCATATGCACTTATATATATATATATATATATATGTATATACTATGGCATATATAATGTGTGTAGATATATATATATATATATATACAGCATTATATTTTAAATATAAGAAATGAGAGGCCGCACAAAGTAATCATTACAGATGATACCTGAGACAGACTTGTGATATATATATATATATATACAC